GGCCTGTGTCAAGCAATGACACAAGCAATTAAGGGTACTACAGCTATAAGATATCACCACGAACAGCATCAGCTGACACCCTAGAACTGATAAGCAGAAGCATTGGAGGTCTGCAGGGCCCCAAGACTGATTAAATCCCTTTATAAAGGGAAGGATTTCAGACATGACCCCTCTATGACTGATCACTTGAACAAGGCAGCTGCCTCCCAAGGCTCTGCCAGATTGATCTCCAAACAGAACTGAGCTCCTTGACAGTTTGAACAGAATAAGCAGTAAGTGCCGCAAGCTGACCCGGATAAACTGAAGCCTTATCTCAACTGTACGCACACAGACTGACTTTGCATTTGGTTCATTAACTTCCTACATCCTTCTGTTGGCTGTTCTCTGTGTACTGCGTAAGAAGCCAAGTTAATCACACGGCAAAATGTCATTGAGTTTGGAACCCTGTACCTGCTTTATAATTATGTTAATCTTGCTTTATGATGGAATAAAACTGACATTGTGAAAAGACACAACTCGCGTGTACACCTTCATAGCATGCTACTGACACACTATCGTGTCTGGCTTTTTCATAATGGTTTTTGAGAACTCTTGTGGGTGTATCATAACTTATTCTTTTTTTTTAATTTGAGGGAGGGAGAGGCAGAGAGAGAGAAAGAAAGAAAGAAAGAAAGAAAGAAAGAAAGAAAGAGAGAGAGAGAGAATATCCCAAACAGGCTCCATACTCAGTGCAGAGCCCAATGCGGAGCTCGATCCCACAACCCTGGGATCATGAGTCAAAACCAAGAATGGGATGCTCAACCAACCGAGCCACCCAGGAGCCCCAACTTATTCCTTTTTTATTGCTGAATAGTAGTCTTTCAAAAATACCCCATAGTTTTTCTCTTCCTCTCTTTTGTTGAAGGACATCTGACAATTTCCAGGTCTGGCATTAAACAAAAAAAATTTGTTCCAGTCCTGGGACCAGTTTATCCAAACAAAAAGAAGTTTGGGGGACTGGATTTTGTTACTTTTGAGATTCTGCCTTTCACTGATATTGAGGTTTTTCAAGGACCTCCCCTGCTTTATCCCTCTGCAGGAAAATCAGAGTACATACGTGCAACAGGAGAGGAATGAAGTAGGCTACATAGAAGATTCGCACGTTTATTTATTCACACAAGGCATAAAGGCTGAATACAGAAAACAAGTTACTATTCTGTCCAGTCTCACAATCCAATTTTGAAAAGGGTAGTAAATGCTGTAAAGGGTGATAAAAGGGCAGTAACAGTCCCAGCCTATACAGTTTAAAGCATTATCAGGGTCCTGATGATAATTCTTACAAGTATAGCTTATACTTATCAAGTTTTAACTAAATGCTAGACATTGTGCCAATTATTTCATCTAATTCTTACGCTTCCGGTAGGTACATTTATTATCCCAATTTCATGCAGAGCATATAGATGTTCACAAAGCACATAAAGAAGTCCATTAACACTATACAATAGAATTCACTCAAATGGGTGTAGAGACTCACAGAAACCTAACGGAAATAAAGTGGTTAATTTTTATGATTTACTTCATATATATCCATTTGGGTGTCTTCTATGTATAGTGCCATGTGGATTTGTGCAACTAAATAGTATAAATAGCATTGCTACTTTGTCTTTTCATTAGCAGTTTGCAAACTCTTCTTAAACCATGAGCTCTCTCTGTTCATGCTCACTGACTCGGGATGGGTGTAAGGTGTAGCATTTACTTCCCAGGGAATTACAAACCAGCTGCGCAACTGCGGTTTTACAAATAGAGTAATTTAACACCACTCTTGATAACAAAATAGTAAGTACTTAGATATTTTAGATACACTGTCACCAACACTTCTGGCCAAAATTCATGTATAACAAGAAGAATTTCAGTGGGAAAGTGACTGGTTTAAAATTATCTTTGGGGATTCAATAAAAAAAATGATTTCTTTTCCCCTTAACACTCTTCTTGTCTTCCTTCCCGCTCTGTCCCTACCCCAAATATCTTTTCGTATTCTTTTCCTTTACTGCGACTGATTATTATTTTATTCACCTATTTAACGAATGGAGCAGAAACGATTCCTTTCTCTGGCAGCAAAGCCCTGAATATGATTTGGAGAAATTTATCCCTAAGAAGCACTGGATGAGCTATGTGGTTTCGATATTGAAAATAGTTTATCCAGGGTCACCTGGGTGGCTCGGTTGGTTGAGCGTCTGACGTGGCCGGCTCAGGTCATGATCTCACGGTTTGTGAGTTTGAGCCCTGCATCGAACTCTGTCCTGACAGCTTGGAGCCTGGGGCCTGCATTGGATTCTGTGTCTCTCTCCCTCTCTGCCCCTCCCCTGCTCAAGCTGTCTCTCTCTCTCCCTCAAAAATAAGCATTAGAAAAATGAAATAAAATAGTTTATCCAAGGGCTCCTGGCTGACTCAGTCAGTAAAGCATGCAGCTGTTGATCTCAGGGTTGTAAGTTAGAGCCCCACGTTGGGTGTAGAAATTACTTAAAAATAAAATCTTAAAAAAAAAAAAAAGTTTATCTGGGGCACCTGAGTGGCTCAGTCAGTTAAGCGGTGGGCTCTAGATTTCAACTCAGGTCATGATCTCAAGGTTTGGGAGATCGAGCCCCACATCGGCTCCATGTTGACAGTGTGAGGAGGCCAGTTCTGATTCTCTCTCTCCCTCTCTCTCTGCCCCTCCTCCCCCACACTCGCTCTCTCTCAAAATAAATAAACTTTTAAAAAGTTAAAAAAAAAAGTTTACCCATGGTATTGTGAACAATATAGCTTCCTGTATTAGGTTGTGAGGGCTGCCAAAACAAAGAGCTACACACGGGGTATGTAAACCACAGAAACATATTGTCTCATACTTCTAGAGGCTACAAGTCCAAGATCAAGGTGTTAGCAGCGTTGGTCCCTTCTGAGGCCTCTCTTCTTGACTTCAGGTACTCATCTTCTCTCCATGTTTTCACGTGGTCTTCCTCCTGTGTCTGTGTCCTAATCTCTTAGCAAAGGACACCAGTCTTAGTGGATTAGGGTCCACTCATATGACCTTATTTTATCTTCATTGCCTCTGTAAAAACCCTGTTTCAAATACAGTCACATTCTGAGGGGCTGGAGTTTAGGATTTCAACATACGAATTCTGAGGGAACACAGTTCAGCCCATAACACTTCCTATGTGCAACACAGAGTTGTTAACCTAACAAAATTTGAGAATATTTAGGAAAATGCTGTAAATGCAGTTATATCCTGTGCAAGACGGTGTTTGTTAGGGTTGTTAAATTAACCACATTTCAACTATTTTAAAATCACTTGTGAACTTAAGTTGGTTGTATGGAAAGATGTTAGTGGCTACTATTTCAGAGAGCAAGGCTATGAAAGAATCAGGACACGCTGAAGATCATATCTTACAAACAAGTAGTTTAATTTTTTTAAATTCTCTAAATTCAAAAAATGAGAAATCGAATCTAACAATGGGAAATTACAGAGCATATAAGGTGTAGGGTTTGTTGTTACTAAGTTTAAAATAACTTATGAAGTGCATGGCAAAAATGGTATTAGAACAGAGTAGACTTGAAATTTAGCATATCCTGCTGTCATCTCTTGCCTATAGAAAAATTAGAATGGGTCATAGAATGAATAAGGAGGACTCACTACGTTTTGGTCACACTTTTATAAGTACAGCATGGTGTTCAAACTTTTACTGTGGGGGGGGGGGAGAATTTAAAAGATCCAAAATTGAGAAAAGAACAGATTGTTGGTTATGATCATTCAAGTTGATTCATAAGATACTGACCTTTTAGTAGATAAAACAGGGTCCAATATTGACAGTTCTATATGTCAACCTAACATTAAAGAGAAACCAGAGGAGTCAGCCTATGGAAGATGGAAAGATAAGCTCCTAGGAGCCATTATCACAGAAGATTAAAGGACTTTATCTTAAAAGTATTATAGATTCAGGGGCGCCTGGGTGGCCCAGTCAGTTGAGCTCCAGACTTCCTCTCAGGTCACCATCTTGCAGTTTGTGAGCTCGAGCCCCCCGTTGGGCTCTGTGCTAACAAACAGCTCAGACTGCTTCGGATTCTGGGTCTCCCTCTCTCCTCCTCCTCTGCTCATGCTCTGTCTCTCTCTCTCAAAAATAAATAAATGTTCAAAAAAAATTTTAAGTATGATACAATTCATACTTAATATCTCAACGTCAGCATTTCCGGTTTGGTTTAATACCAATAATAATATTGTCATTCCTCCTCACCGCTTCCTTTTTATACTATTAGCTATGCTAATCTTCCAAGTCTATTCTTTTTTTTTTTTTTTTAATCTATTCCTGGATTAGGCTTGCTGCTTTACCCAGGCTACGCGCTGATATAAATGCTGAGCTTTCACTCCCCGCATAAAAAGGTTTTCCTGCCAGTGGCAAGTTCTGAGAGCTTTACTCCGCCGCGGCGCCCCCCCCCCCCCCTTAGGCCACCCCTGCCCCTCCTTCCCGCAGCGATAGCCTCCTGCACTGGCAAATTCTGCACTTTGCTTTCCTATCATCCTCTTGTCTCTGAGGGCAGGAATGAGTCCCTTCCTCCGAATCCCATCTTTTTGCTGCGGAGGTGGGGCGGGGACCCCACTCTCCCACCTTAGGGTAGGGGTGCTGGTGTTGAGGGTGAGTGATCAAGGGCCCGTTCACCAGGCAGGTTTATACACTCAAATGGCACGTGAGCGACCCGAGGAAATCCGACAGCCAATCAGGACGCAAGCGTGGTACCGCAAGCATCTTTGGTCCGGGACAGTAAATGCCCAGCCCGACCCGGAGAAAAGGCTCAACAGGACCCGGGGTCAAACTTTCAGAGCGCTCGCCCCGCCCATCCGTGGACCGCTTTTACAGCGGGGCGAGCGCGACCCCGTTTCTGCTCGGGCGTCGCTGATTGGAGACGAGGGCGGGGAAGGCGGTGGGCGCAGCCAATCCGGGCCGCCCTTCGCCGCTCTCCTCCCTGCCCCTCCTCCTTCCCGTGGAGTTAGTCTTCCGCAGGAGGCGTCTCCGGCCGGTGTCTGCTTGCGCTCTCCCAGGGGTCAGCCCCGGGTGAGACGGTGCAGTCGAGGCTGGGGACGCTGGCGCTCAGGCCATGGCCTCTCCCGGGCTGCCGCAGCCCCCGGCCGAGGTCTCGCCCTGGCCTCTGCGTCTGCTGCACGCGCCTTCCGGGCTGCTGCGGCTGGACTCCACCGGCGGAGCGCTGCTGCTGCTCGGCCTCGCGGCGCTCCTCGGCTGGAGCTGGCTGTGGCGGCACCGGGCGCGGGGCATCCCCCCCGGACCCACGCCCTGGCCCGTGTTGGGCAATTTCGGCTTCGTGCTGCTGCCACCGTTCCTCCGACGGAAGAGCTGGCTGCAGCGTCGGGCGAGGGCCGCAGGAGTGGAGCCCTCGGCCCTGGGCCCGCAGTTGTACCTGGCCGACCTGGCCCGCGTATACGGCAACGTCTTCAGCTTTTTCATCGGCCACTACCTGGTGGTGGTCCTCAGCGACTTCCAAAGCGTGCGCGAGGCGCTGGTGCAACAGGCCGAGATCTTCAGCGACCGCCCGCGGGTGCCGCTCGTCTCCCTCGTAACCAAGGAGAAGGGTGAGCCGCTTCTCGGCCGCCGGAGCCTTGAGGGTCGCGGGCCGTGTGAACGCGCGATGTGGCGCATGGGGCGCCAGGTACCGGGCTGTGGTTCCTGTGTCCTTTGCAGCCGCGCGCACCCAGCCCGGCTCACCGTAGGCAGCCCCAAAGTAGGAGGGCGGCGGCAACGCCTCCTTTTCCTGGTGCCTTTAAGATCGTATCGAGCTGTGATGGATGAGGGACTCGTTCTTATTCCAAGATAAGAAGTGGGAAACCCACTGGAAAGTTGAGGAAGGGAAATGGGGACGGGGGCGCGGGTGGAGACGTGTGAAAGCCAGGCTCTATCTTTCCTGTCTGTCCTTTCCAGAACAAGGCCTTTGGCTGTGTTAGATGGAGGCAGGGATATTCATTACACCTTCTGTGTTCTGAATGAAATCGTTTAAGAAGATAGTTCCCCGTAAGATAGAAAGTCCAGAAAACGTGTTAGGAGCCTATTGGCAAATCTAGTTTACTGGGTTTGCAACCTCTGCGATTTCTGCTTATGGAAGTCCAAGTTGGGCAGTTTTGATGGTTGGGAAACATACTATCCACATTTACCCTCTCCCTAACCCAATCCTCCCACCTCCTTTGTTTATCAGTCTTACCCTTTGTCTTACTGGCTGGCATAGGTCCCAGACTTTTTTGTCTGAGTTCATATGTTAATTTAATTGCCTTTCATCAGTCTTTCCTTCTGGAAGCTTTTTGTCACTCCCTCTCCAAGTTAGCTCCCTTTTGGAACCAGTTTCTTTGCACAAGTACTTTTTTCACTGCCCTTATCACAACTGGGGCTACAGAATTTTGCAATCTTGGGCCTGGAAGCAGGTCTTTACCACGAAACTGACATCTAGGAGAATGTGGACTGCAACATAAAAAGATTCAGGCTTTTAAGAATCTGATTAAGCCAGAGTTTTCCCTCAGAATTTTAATGAATAGCAGTGATGATCATAATATTTTAAATGTCCCACTGAAGAACATGTCACAGTTCGTAACCCATGGTCTCCATGCCGTCACACGTGCTGCTGCTTCTACCTAGAATTCTCTTCCAGCCTCATGGCTGCCTGGAAAACTCCTGTTTTCTCTTCTTTTCTTTTCTCTCTTTTAAACACATCGTGGTGAAATACACATAAAATTTGCCATCTTAACCATTTTTAAGTTCAGTGACATTAGGTCATTTACATTGTTATGAAACCATTACCACTATCTCCAGAATACTTTTCATCTTGCAAAACTGAAACTGTGTACCATTAAACAAACTTTAAAAAAAACCCTCCTTGAGGCAGGCACCTGGATGGCTCAGTTCGTAGAGCATGTGACTCTTGATCCTGGGGTTGTAGGTTTGAGCCCCACGTTGGGTGTAGAGATTACTTAGAATTTAAAATTAAAAATTTAAAAGAAAAAATAGAAAAAACCCTCCTTCCTCTTTCTATCCCCTGGCAACCACTGTTCTATTTTCTGACTCTATGGATGTGACTATTCTAGGTACTTGATATGATTGGTATCATCTAATATTTATTCTTTTGTAACTGACACTTTCACTTAGCCCCATGTTTTAAGCTTTTTCAATGTTGTAGCATGTGTGAGAATTGCTTGCCTTTTTAAGTCTGAATACTATTCAGTTGAATGTATATAACACATTTTGTTTATCCCCTGATGGATGCTTGGATACTTCTGCCATTTCACTATTATGAAAAATGCTGCTATGAACACGGTACATATACAAATATCCATTCAAGTCCTTCCTTTCAATTCTTCTGAGTAGTTACCCAGAGGTGGAATTGCTTGATAATATGGCAATTCTGTATTTCATTTTTTGGGTAACTACCCTACTGTTTTCCACAGTGTCTGCACCATTTTACATTCCCACCAGCAACGAACGAGGTTCCAATCTTCCCACGTCATCTTTGCTATTTTCTGTTTCTCAAACCTGCTTAAATGTCACCTCTTTGAGAATGTGTTCCCCAACACACCTCTCTCTGCCAGGGAGAGGGGAGCTACCCTTTCTCTATGACACCACTGTTTGGGCTGAAGCCCCTCCCCCTCCCACCCCCTGCCAGTCAGTCAGCAGGTCTTGTCAATTCTGCAGAGACAGTTCTGTATCCATCCACTTGTTTCGATCTCCATTGTCAGCACCTTCATGCCAGGTACCATCATTTTCATTTGATACTTGAAGCCACTTCCCTAGCCTACTTGCTTCTACTCCAGTTTTATTTTATTTTATTTTATTTTATTTTATTTTATTTTATTTTATTTTATTTTATTTTATTTTATTTTATTTTATTTATTTAATTTTTTTAATGTTTATTTTGAGAGAGAGAGCGTGTGTGTGTGTGTGTGTGTGTGTGTGTGTGTGTCAGCAGGGAAGGGACAGAGTGAGGGAGACACAGAATCCGAAGCAGGCTCCAGGCTCTGAGCTGCCAGCACAGAGCCTGACATGAAGCTCGAACCCACGAACCGCATGATCATGACCTGAGCCAAAGTCAGACGTTTAACTGACTGAGCCACCCAGGTGTCCCATCGAGTTTTTTATCTACACATCAGCCAAAGGGATCTCTTTTAAAAACCAAGAATCACAGGTGCCTGGGTGGCTCAGATGTTGAGCTTCTGACTTCATCTTAGATCATGATCTCAGGGTTCAAGGGCTTAAGGCCCACATTGGGCTATGGGCTGGCAGTGCAGAGCCTATTTGGGATTCTCTTTCTCTTCCTCTCTCTCTGCCACTGCCCCACTTGCACTCTCTATCTCTCCTCTCTCTCACTCTGAAAATAAATAAATAAACTTAAACAAAACAAAACAAAAAAACCCATGAATCAAACCATGTTGCTCCCCAGCTGAAACCAGTTGCCTCCAACTCCATCCTGGACCTACTGTGCCTGGAAGAATCTGGGCCCTGCCTGCCTTTCTCACTTTCTCTCTCTCTCCATTCTGCCTTGACTCATACATTTCAACCTGGTCTAGAAAAATTAAGCAGATTCCTGGCAAGCTTGTGACTGCCTCAGTCTACTGGGTTTGTTGTCCTTGGGCCTAGAATAACTTTTCATATGACTGACTCCTTATCCTCTCTCAGGCTAATTGTCACCTTTCAGTCCTATTTTAGACACTGCTCAATATCACAACTTATTTTATCTCTTTCATATTTCACTCATTAAACACTTTGAAAATATTTAGCCTATTACCAGCCCCACCTACCAATGGAATATAAACTCTGTGAGGGCAAAGGTTTGGTTCATGTTGTTACCCACTGTATCCCCACTAGTTGGCACAGAATAGGTAATCAAAAAATGAATGAATCTATGCATACAAACATCTGTTGATGCATGTAACACATTATACTGTAATTTTCTTGCATGTCTTTTCCTCTAGATATTTTTAAGGTGTGAATTAGATTTTCTTCTTTGAGGTCCTTCTTGGTGAATATATGGTTTGCTCAAAAATCTGTAATAAGGCAGTTTCTTTTTTATTTTGAGGGAGAGAGAGTGCGAGTGCATGTGTGCATGAGCGTGTGTATGTGGGGGAGGGCCAGAATGAGGGGGAGGGAAAGAATCTTAAGCAGGCTCCATGCTCACCGTGGATCTTGACTTGGGATTGATCTCAGGACCTTGAGATCATTACCTGAGCCAACGCTTCACTAACTGAGCCACCTCGCTGCCCCTATGATAAGACAGTTTCTAAGTATTAGTTGAATCACAGCTTATTATTAGATCTTTATGTAGGAAAGGCCTGGGAGCCTGGGGTAACTGGGTGTTTCAGCATCTCAACCAAAGCATTCATTCTCCCAAGAGACAGTTAGGGTTCTTTAGGTGATGCTGGTCTGGTATTGTAATGGGTGTGTGTTGGGAAGTGTGCTGTGAGCTGAGAAAAGTTGCTGTGGTGGAGGCAGTTGACAAGAGAAGGTAAAGGAAGAACCATAGGTCACAAAGGAGATGCTTGTGGGGCTAACTTAGAGTAGAGAACAGGTCATCTGAATAGGAAAATGGAGACAGCTGAGGAATTTTTTTAATGGAAATTGTTCAAAGGTGAAGAATAAAAGGGGAGAATATGAGCTTATTTCAAGATGCCCATCAAAGGATGAGGGACCAGACAAATTCTGAGTAGATGTCACAAATCGAGAAATGGATAGCCTGAAGTTATCAGCCTCAAGGAGAGGCCATGAGAGCTAGAGGCTGAGCAGCTCAGCACTACTTGAGGAGTGTTCACGCAGTTTGGCTACTGTTTCCAATGGCGGAATTAGAAAATGTGAAATTGTCTAGAAGAGAAATGTGTATAGGAGAAAGAGAAACAGTATTAGGAATTAGAGGTCAATAGCATTATTAAATATTTAGTACAAGATATTTTTAGGGTCACCTGGGTGGTTCAGTCGGTTGAGTATCCAACTCACGGTGGTAAGATCGAGCCCTGGGTCTGGCTCTGCACTGGCCGTGGAGCCTGCTTGCGATTCCCTCTTCCTCTCCCTCTGCCCTTCCTCCACTCACACACTTGCGCACACATGCTCTCTCCCTCAAAAAATTTAAAAAATAATTTAAAAGATTTTTAAAGAACATTGGTACTAAAGTTGGTGAGACTAGCAGAGAAAGGAATGTTTTATAAACAGTGATGTTCAGAGACAGGCTGGAAATACTTGACTTAACACATTGCCAAAAAGTTCTAGAATGTGGGGAAGTTATTATATTTGAATTTTTCAAAATATGCTTGGGCAAGTTGATGTTCTTTTTAAGCCAATAAAAACTCTAGTAAGCTAGATATGCCATAAAGGTATTTTACATTAGCTATGCCCATCATTCTCATCAGTCTACCTGATTCTTTCCTGAGCAGGAATAGAAAATAAAGCTACAAAGTCAGAGTCAAGGCTACCAAAAGTGCTTTACCCTAGGTGTGGTCTATTTCTTCTAAAAGGTTTGTGTACATCACATTTTTATTATAAAACATTTCAAATATAAAGTTCAGAGAGCATATAAATTTCTTTATCTACCATTCAGATTTGCTTC